CAGTGTAGAGGGAGCTTTACTCTGTATCCAACCCCGTGCTGTCCCTGTCCTGGGAGGGTTTGATGGGGGGGGGGGGGGGGGGGGTGGAGAGTGTAGAGGGAGTTTCAGGGTGCTCTCTCTTCTCACAGTCTGCTCTATCCTTTCAGATCTTTCATTACGGAAATGGAGTCCCTTATATTGAGAAATGGGGTCAGTTCCGCAACCGGGTTGAATGGGTCGGGGATATCTCCAAACAGGACGGCTCCATAGTGATCCGCAATCTCGATTATATCGACAATGGAACCTTCACCTGTGATGTCAAAAACCCCCCAGATGTTGTGGGCACTTCCTCTGATGTTCACCTCACTGTTTACGACAGGAGTAAGTGTCTGTCTGTGTGCGCGGAGCAGTGTGAGAAAATGAGTGTGTGATGGTGTAAGTGTGAGACTGAGAGTGATTGAGTCAGAGTGAGGAGGTGTGTGTGTGTGACAGTGTGGGGGTAAATGTGAGTGTGAGTGAGTGTTGAGTACGAGAGTGAGCGTGCATGAGTCGGTGTGAGTGATTGTGAGGGTGAGAGTGTGAACAAGCCAGTTAGAGAGAGTCAGCAAGTGTGCGTGTGAGTGCGGGTCAGTGTGAGTGTGACTGTGTGGGAGAGTTATCACGAAAGTGTGCATGAGTACTTGTGTCAGACAGTTAAGAGTATGAGCATGAGTGAGTGTGACAGGGACTGTGTGTGTGTGAGAATATGTGAGTGTATTGGTGTGTGTGCAAGGGAGTGTTTCGGAGACAGTGCAACAGTGAGTGAGAGTGAGTCTGTGGTGTATGGGACTAACTGAGTGTGAGAGAATCAGGATGAAGGTGTGAGGATTAGAATGAGAGAGTCAGTGTGAGGGAGTGAGGATGAATGAGTGTGTGTGTCAGTGTGAGTATGGCTGCATGTGAGTGTATGAGTAGAACAATGTGAAAGTGTGTGAGAGTCAGGGAACGTGAGGGCCAGTGTGAGGGTGCGAGTGAGTCCGAGAGTTAGTGTCAGAGAGTCAGTGTGAGGGTAAGAGAGTCAGTGGGTAAGACTCAGTGTGAGGGTGTAAGTCAGTGTTAGTAGGAGAGCGAGTGAGTGAGCGAGTATGAGTGTGTATGGTTCAGTCCTGAGGGAGTGCCGCACTGTCGGAGCGTCAGTACTGAGGGAGCGCCGCACTGTCGGAGGGTCAGTGCTGAGGG